TTGGGTCGATCAAGTTTTGATGTAATCAGATAGATATCATGGTTATACATATTCTGGGAAAAAATTATTGAAATCGATCGAGTCGTTTAGCAGATATTCACAAAAAACGATTTTTGAGAAAACGCCATATCTCAGGAACCATCCAACCGATCAAGCTGAAATTTTGCACAAATTTGTATGTCATCAAAACCTATCATGAGCCAGAATTTCAGCCCTTTCGCGGGAATAGTCTTGGAGTTATTAACATGTTTCTGGACGAACACACACACATACATACACACGCACACACATACATACGGACATCGGCTAAAAATATCAAATGTCGGCGTTTCAGACCACCCTGAGTCATATTCATGCAAAATTGGAGAATCGAAAAAAAAGTGATTACAATGCTTCCATTCGGAAGCAAAAACGGATTTAATTCCATCGATTCATTAGCGAGCAATTGAAGAAAGACCGTGTTACATACACACACATATTCACACATACGAACGGATACGGTCAAAAAATGGCATTTTTGGATTTTTTAAATAATAAAAGTTCGATATAACATAAAAAATCTAAACCTTACATTGGAACGATTACAAAGCTTCCATTCGGAGAAGGAAAAACGATATGATGTTTAGTAAGATTTTCTGACTAAGTTGCAACGATTTGAAACGTTGAATGGTAATTACTATTCAAGTGCTATATTTTTTCACTGAGGAAGATAATTCCAGGGGCACAAAAAAAAACAACGAAAATTAATTTCTGTAAATATAGTATACATGCCCATTTTCCCATGAACTTTTCCGTGGTCTATGTTTTCCTGGATCATTTTTTCTTGTCTATTTTTTCCGGATCTATTTTTTCATTGGTCATTCTTTCCGCCTCTCAATTAATAGGGGAGGGTGGGACAAAACGGACCGCCGGGCTAAACGGACCACTGAATGTGTTGCATTAAAAGTGAGTTTCAGGATCATAACCGTCACAGGGGTTTCATAGACAAAAAGTGTTGTTGAACCGCAATTTGATCAGATTTGCTAATGACCTCAAACCACAAATGATTTTGAATTTTTGTTTTTGTTTCCATTTGGAAGCAACAACTATCAAAAAAATCAAAACAATTTTAATTTTCTATCAGTGGTCCATTATGCCCTACGGTCCGTTTTGCCCGCCTGATCCGTTTTGTCCTACCATCCTCTACTGTATAATGGGGTTATGGAACAGAATGAAATCCCTGCAATGTATATGATATGCAATAATCAATGATAAAAAAAACCCATTTAGCAAGTTATATCAACGTTCCCCATTTTATCAGCACATTATATCAATGATTGCCGAATACATTTTCCATTAACACCAAATTTATGAACTGGGTTGTGTTTTTTTATTATTGTCATGACTAACTCATCCTGTGCATAATCGAAAAAATACAGACAATTATTCATATCACTTAGCATTCACTTTTGCCACTATCGCAATGACACTAGCGAACTTCAAATAATGAATTTACTAGGAGCGTAATAACGTGGCGAACAGCAGGTTTTCTGAAGCTGTTCATTCCCATTTTGTTGACAATACCTCATTGAGGTTTCTGTCAATATGACTGCTCTGCAGAAGACATTGATTATTTGTTGTCTTTTGATTATCTGCGCGACGTTAATCAACGCCAAGGGTATGTATTCGTGGATCTGTCACTTTACCAACAGATCAATTAGTTCATTTGTTATGTCTACAATATTTCAATGCCGAAGGTATTTTTCAAATAATAGATTCTTGCCAGGGAGACTCTGATTGTACAGGACCTCCGTGTATGAATGAAAAAGACAAGCTGAAGTGTACAAATCAAATATGCACTTGTGGCTTGGCCGTAAACTTCAAATTTCCGGTATCATTCCTTATTTTGTTTTCACTGTGTATATTTTTAATCATCTTAGCTTGACCTGTTCATTAATTTTTATTGTGTTTGCTTCTTTTTGCTTCCGAATGGAAGCATTGTAATCACTTTTTTTTCGATTCTCCAATTTTGCATGAATATGACTCAGGGTGGTCTGAAACGCCGACATTTGATATTTTTAGCCGATGTCCGTATGTATGTGTGTGCGTGTGTATGTATGTGTGTGTGTTCGTCCAGAAACATGTTAATAACTCCAAGACTATTCCCGCGAAAGGGCTGAAATTCTGGCTCATGATAGGTTTTGATGACATACAAATTTGTGCAAAATTTCAGCTTGATCGGTTGGATGGTTCCTGAGATATGGCGTTTTCTCAAAAATCGTTTTTTGTGAATATCTGCTAAACGACTCGATCGATTTCAATAATTTTTTCCCAGAATATGTATAACCATGATATCTATCTGATTACATCAAAACTTGATCGACCCAACACCGGAAACAGAGTTTTTTTTCATTTTTTCATTTTTTTCATGAAATCGCTCGTTACCACGATAACTCAAAAAATAATTGCGATAGAAACTTGAAATTTTGTACGATTATATGGCTAATGGTAACAATGATTGGTATTGTTGATGGGCGAAATCGGACCAGTAGTTCCTGAGATATTCCACTTTATAGTTAAAGCTCTACCCTCTAATATCTCGAGAACTACTATACCGAATGAAGTTTTTTTTTTTTTGAAAATACTCGTCATGATAAGGGCTATCGAGCCGAATGAAAATATGTATATCGTTCCATTCAAAGTTTTCGAGATATTGTTACTTTTCCATTTTTCCATTTGAAGTAGGCTATGAAGTACTTCAAAATTCTTTCAACGACTTAAAATTTTGGCTATTGGTCGATACTACTCAGTAAAATAACTGATAATTATTAGAAATTAATCCGTCCACTATTTTGTCGAATACAAATTTTTTTAGAAATTATTTAGTTTTAGTTTCCGGAAAAAGCTTTGCAATCCGTCCATTTTCCGAATCTCTAATGCATATTGCAAATCATTTACAATGGTCTGTATTTAAAAAATATAAAATTTGAATGCCACGTCCTTTGTGGTCATTTTAAGCGGCTGTCTTCTAGTGGTCAATTTTCTCAAGTGGTCAGTTTCTCCGAAATAGCTGACATTTTGGCACATTAGGTGACAGCACAGAGCAAATCTGTGCAGAAGTTCAACTGAATCTGTCGATTATTTCTTTTAGGAAAACTACCATTAGTTTGTTTATGTTCTTTTTTGCGAACATCCAAAACTAATGGACAGATTCACCATATTTTTATTTTGATTCGTTTAGATAGCAAGTCTTGAAAAATATTTCGGAATGAAAATGTTCACATATGTCCAACGAAATTGTTCTAATATTCCTCGAATACTAAACGACTCAGGAAGTGCTGAGTTAGATCAAGAGTTTACACCGTGGCCTTACGTTTTTTTCCGTATTTCTTAGAAATTACTAAACGACTCAGGAAGTGCCGAGTTAGATCAAGAGTTTACACCGTGGCCTTACGTTTTTTTCCGTATTTCTTAGAAATTAAAAATTTGGAATAGAAAAGTATTTTGATGTTATTGTTTTATAGAATGTGGTGGAGATTGACGCACCATGCTTCTATTCGTCAGAATCCAACAGATTATTCACAAGGATCCTCGTAAGTTTTCTGGAAAAGTCTTGAAACGCGATGTTATACGTAGGTTCATAGAGGGGGAATTCATGGTATGTAATTGGCCTCTACTCAATTGGAAGAATATATTTCCCTAATCAATTATATGGACAGATAGATAATGGAGGAATTCTAGGAATTGGAATTTTAACGAAAGAGATATAGAGTTTGAAAGAAAAATAAGTTTGATTGATTTCACCAAGAATTTTGAATATATTTCATATTTTCATCTTGATCGGCTATGCATCACTCGATCCAGTTGATGTTTGAGATGAGTTCAACCATTTTTTCTTCAGCTCAGCAACTTTTTCTAATCGTTTTTTTTTCTCGTCCATCAGTTCTTGATCACTTTTTCTTTTTCTCTGAATTCCTCCTGTTTCTCTTTCGAATACTGCTTCTTCTTCTTCAAGGGCCGTCTTTTTTCTGTCTCTTTGCTCTTTTGTACAATTTGTTTCAAAACAATATAATATCGAAGTCCTTTTTTGGAGAATCTTCCTACTTTCTGGGAAATACCAAAGTGTTTTCCTCAGCGCGTTCGTTGTTGACACCTGCAACATTTTCCCAACTCAATGAGATTATTGAATTTTTCTTAATGTAGAAATGTTCAATTGATCAATTTGATTTTTACAATACGAAGAAGTTGATTAGAATATCTCCTATTCCGTTAGTATCAGTATAGCATTATTACCATCAGATGAATCTCTCAAAATTGGTACATAATGTTCCGAAAACCATCTGAGTAAATATTCTGGGCAGTTTTTTTTTATTTTTATTTTTTTATTTTTCGGTGCTCCATCAATTTCGTCAAATTGTTTTCGAACGTTGCAATTATATAGGATATCTCACCAGTCTTGCTCTGAAGAAAGCTTCCCCTTTAGTCTCCTCACTACTCTCATAATATCCAAAGTCAGAGTGCTGTCGTCCGTCTTTTAGGCCTATCTTGATACTTGTGGAGCATCCAACATGAAACACACCGTCTTGTTCTTCTTCAAAATCTAAAAATAATGTCTCATCATAAACCTGGCATTTCGAGGGGTAGGTGGTGAATTTCACATAAGAAAATTCTCTTCTGCTGATGAATTGGATTTACCAATTTTCTGGTCAATGATATGGTGTGACCATCCAATCTGTTTGAAGGCATCCTCGGCATCGTAGATAAGCCCGGCGTGAATATTTGCATCTTTTCTCTTCTCTCTTTCCATTTTCCTTTATGTTTGATTCAAAACTTTTCAATACCGCTGATATTTTTTGCGGGCTTATTATGTTTGTTCCACTTCCTTTATGATTTGACTTTCTTCTTTTTTGTCAGATGATTGTGAAGTTAGTTCAGTTTTCATTGTCTCCAAATTTGTTTGTCTGTGTGGTTGAGCTATACTACTGTACCTACTAGAAATTTATACCCATGAAAATATTTATTAGATACATGATCCAATTATTGCTAACAGTCAAATTTATCAAAAAGAATCAACTTTCCATGAAAAAAAAAATATATATATACACATAAATAAAAATCGTTCTTTGACTCACAATAACTAAGTTGTTTTTGTGTATAATTTCGTTATTTATGTTCCATTATCTCTCCTCATTCAGATTCAATGACTTCCTTCGATTTCATAATTATTTCCGTATAGATTATAATCTGCGCTCCTGAATAAACATCCCACTCAAAATCACAGAGATCATCGTCATCAAATACCGTGGTCGAAACGTTTACCGTTCGTCGTTTATGTGGTATGGCATCGCGGATATGGATTAACTGGAGCACAATATTATTGTCATCATTCAAGTTGTACCTATTCTTCCTAGTCTCCAAGTTCAGGAACTTACTCTATTCATCGGAAAGTTGTAGATGAATGATTGGATGGCGGCTTCATTATAAATCAATATCTTCGAAAGTCTTGATCTTGTCCCGAAATAGCCGTTGAAAAGTACGAAACAGAAACATAACTGCCCATCAATTTCGTGCCTTCCAATATTTCCAAAAATCATCCCTGTTAACCTAGTAGAAAAGTGTATGTTTATGTACTTTAAAGTAGTTCCTCACATTTCGACGCTTTTCAACAAATCAATACGCACGTTTTTGGGATCCCTTCTTCAACATTGATTATTAAATGTGGATATTCCACGTGCACTTCCATCGCTCGATTAGGAATAGTAAGGGTGAACCAGTTATAACGAAAATGGATGCCGTAGTATGACAGAGGCTATGAAGTTGCTCATAATTCTCTTTTATTAAGGATGAAAGATTCCTATGAACATCGGGCAATAAGTGGGTAGTTACCCGGATAAATAAAATGAAAACGTGATGCATCAAGCGACATGGTGGATTTCAGTCTCCGACAGAACTGAGGGATCTCTTCTAAACTTCTCAGAAAACCTTTAATTTCTCATGGAAGGTTTTGGTTGAAGATTGTTGTAGTAGAAGAGTCGAATAAATTTTTTTATTATTATTATTATTTTTTAATTATGCTGGGGCACCTCCAAACGGCATCAGTAATTTTCCAATAGAATACCCACCTGTACTTCACATAGGTTTCGTATTGTTTCTGAGACTAGTCTTATTTACGGGAGTAGGCAGTCACTCACATTCTTATTGACTCAGAAAAAAATTTCTCTGTACACGGGAAAAGAATAGGTACTTTCAAAAGCCCGAAAAATACTTGGGACTAATATCTGTGGTGAGAAGTGCCTATTCCATCCCGTGTAGATGATTGTACTCCTAATGATTGGTCCGTCAGTTGTCATCTGTCGAGTGTTTCTGTTAATAGGGCGGGCGGTAAAAATAGTGGACTTCAACACAAGTATTCCGTTTTACAGCATTCTTCTTGAAGGCTCGATGAAATTCTGAAACTTGGGGTTTAGGTTCTTCTTTTATATACATATTTTTTTTCTGATGATTGCATGACGATATCAAATAATGGCCTATTCAAATAATAGAGAAATACAATTTATTGAAATGCAGAACGTATTCTGTATGTTTCACGAGAATTTATAGAATTAAATTTTCTCTTTTTCCTCATCATGTAACTTCCTTTTAAATTGATTTTGATTTTCTTCCATCCATAAAATTCTGTATTCCCTCAATTATTTCTTTGGCTTCTTGGCATCTTCAACTTTCGCGGCTTCGGTGGTGCTGAAAGAATTAATTGATTTGGTTTACTAATTCATTATTGTTATTACTATTATTGAATGCAATATCCGTTCGATATTCCATTTGTTACACTTCATTTCGTCAACCCCCATTGATCTCACACTCACAAGGGAGTAGGAGAGCGAGCAATAAATGAGTTACCGATGATGCTGATCTTCACACGCCGTACTTTCAAAATTTAGAAATTTGAATATTATTATTATATTTCCTAATTTCTATTTGGTGGATTTTCATCGTTCAACTCTAACATTTTGATAATCGACACAAAATAGTCGGTTCCATAATATGATATGACAAAAGAATAAAATAATTTACAAACATTAAATGGAAAAATCGATAGCAAATTCCTTGCACACCATTCTGGAATTTATAAATTCGTCCCAATGCTTCAGAAACTGTGTTTTCTAGCCTGTCCAAAGAGATTCTAGGAATTCCGCAGGATTCTTTTTTCGAAGTCAAAACGAAAATCAGTTTCAATCGATACCACACATGAGTTAACAAAAAATGCTAAGACCTGAACAAATGTAAAATTGGATTCCATTATGTTGGGTATATGCCCAAAACGAAGCCTGGTAACACTCCAATACTATGAGTTGATATTTTTTTCATTATTTTATTACCTCTTATAGTTGATACTCCTCTTTCCCCGCTTCAGCCTGGAGTTTTTCTTAATTTCTTCTTCGTATTTGTCTAAAGCTTCAATCAAGGCCTCATCCCAGTCGTCATGGAGCACTATATGAATAGCATAATGGGTTTCGATCACTCTTGTGAATTTTCGCAGCGATATTAAGGTGATTTTCATCTTGCATACATTTTTAACTGACCTTCCGTTAGACTGACAATTAATTGAATAATAAATAATAAGAAAAAACTCTTCAAAATTTGACGATAACTTTAATAATCCAACTTCTCCTACTTCATAATAGGACTAAAACTATTGTACTTACGGTCGATCACTTTCTCCATGTTATCTCCGTTACTGCACATTAGTTCAATATTTTCTCCTCAAACTTGCGTGCACGGAAAATGGTTTTGAATCACGTAAATCGCAAGGATTTTTTTTTTTTTTTTTTTTAAAAACTTCGAACGTCAATGCGACAATCTTTTTTTTCCTTCTTCAGTTTGTTCATGACTCTAACTTCAGAAGGTAAATTTTATCGAGAAACAATATCTCCAGAATTTACGAAATGACAGTTCGTCTACCGTATCGATAATAAAGTTATTTTCCTTACCTTTATCGATTCAAATTTATGTCCCCATCAGATTAATCGTGTTCTATGGGAATATCTGTGAGTATTTTTCGATATTGTTGACGCAATCAAGTGATATTCCCCCTCATCTCCCCCAAACAACTAGATAATTTCGTCTAATAGGCGTACTGTCGGTGAGGAAGACTACAAAACATATCCCTTCAACGCAAAGTGCTGAAAACGGATTTTTCTCTGTGAATCCATTGACTACACTGGTCATAATTTCCTTGACGAAAATCCTCTTGGTTTCTATTTAGCAAATGGTAAGCGCACTTGATGTTTTATGAATACATTCAACTCAACCAGTTTAATGGAAATCCATCAACGAACATACTCAACTATCCTATCATATCGATATGTTGAGAATTACCATTGACTTTTTCGTCCCTTCTTTGTCCTAATTAACTGTCGTGAGTCATTAACAAGTCCCATATTGCGTGTCAGTCTCTCCACATCTCAAATGTTCCTTATGATGGAAAAATTGTTTGCATTTATTTGTTCGAAATAATTCCTAGTGGAAGATTTTGAATATTGAATTTCCCCTTTATTGAATACTAAGAATTAAGGTGAGAATCGTTTCATTTCTTATCCCATTATTTCTTTCATTTCATACCCTTTCGATGTTGGGTAGGTAATTTCATGATGCCAAAGTTAAAGAAGAAAAGTCCAGCAATGAGAGCCTCCGAAAGGCGTCAATATATGAAAGAGTTGAGAAACGAGGAAAACACTGAAAATGCTGGGAGAGAAAGTGATCGCTTGAGAAAAATCAAAGCCCGGAAAAATGAAACATTCTATGCTCTGGAAAAGGAGAAGAGGAAAGAATTCATGAAGCGGCGCAGAGAGAACGATAACATTAGGGATTCCGAAAGGAGTGCCAATGTTGCAAGAATGAAGGTCAAGCGTAACGATATTGGTTATGTGACCGAACAAAATCTCTTAAATCAGGTACGAATGAAACGAAAAAGAGAGAATCCAGAATATCGTTCGAGAGAGCAACAATTTAATCGAGAGCGAATACAATCCATTCGCCAAACAAATCAACATTTTACTCAACATGAGAAAGAATCGAATCGTCATAGGATCGATCAAATTCGTCGGGAAAATCCTACTTATGTTGAAAATGAAAAACGGAAAAATATCACACGGATGCAAAACATTCGGGACAATCCCGTTTATGTAGATGCGGAACGGAAAGCGGTTCGTGAACGGATGGAAAATCTTAGGAAAGACGAAAAGTACAAAATGAATGATTCTCTTCGTAATAAATTAAATATGCGGTTCATTAGGGGAACCGTTGATGAATATCCCCTTCGTCATCAAATGAAGAATAGAATGAGAAAGTCATTGAGTGTCGTATCCCAGGAGACAGTGACTGATTTGAGCGAAAAACCAAATGACATTGATTACGCGACTAGAGAGCGAACAAAAAATAGAGAGCGAATACGCACTCTACGTCGGGACAAAACGTTTTCCACGCGTGAACGAAAAAAAAATCGTAAGAGGCTCCATGAAAAAAGGAAAAATCTCAAATACAAATTGAATGATAATTATAGGAATAAAATGAACAAAAAATCAGTCCGTAGTATCGATATGCTACGATTTCGCGAGCGTTATCAGTTGAAAATTACATCTCAGGCCAAGAACTGCGAACGACATGACAATGAGTTCTCTTTGATCAAAAATTTTCTAATAAATCGTAGGAATACCCCGAGTATTGCATGTATTTGTTGCAATAATTTATTTTTTCCGAAATCAGTAGTGAAATATAATAAGCATAAAATTTCTTCGAAATTGAGTGAAA